CTTGCCGTTGACCGCCGCGCTTGGGCAGCTGCAATCCGAGACATTCATGAAACCGCCTCATCCCGTCGCAGGAACTAGCCGTAGTAAAGTAAGGTAATTAAGTATCTATCGATTGTGGAACAACGAGCATACAGTACGTGTGCGACAGCTCGGTTGTATGACTGTTGTAGTAAGCGATCAATCGGATAAGCTAAATATGGCAGAAGACAGCTAAGCTAGAGGTATGCTGTTTCACAGCCAGAGACTAATCCTATTTTACTCTTGCGACATCACGACTCCACAATATAGAAACGACGCGGCCCCACGAATACATTCTCTTCAAATAGGAGAAAACGTGCATCAACCCATAGGTTTGTATGTCCGTCAGATTAGGATGTGCCCATAACGTCATACTTTATTAACGTAGTGAATGATGAGATGCAGAGTGAGTTAAGTGACAAAGTAGAACAGAATCTAAAATGACCAACACAAACGAGATAACAAGAGGAAAAAGAAGGAGTCCATATGGCGGAGACAAGAATGTTTCTCCCTCGAAAACTGCTAAAGCACAACCAAGACTGATTACTGCTACGACGACGAATGGGTATTGTGGACTAAGTCATGCAGCAAAAGTGTGATAGTTCCCGTTACGAGATCAAGGATTGTTTACATCGAAGAACTCATCTAAAGGAAGAACAGTTCCCGCAACACGCTGAAAGTGCGCGGAGCATTATCATCATCATCATCACAATCAGAAGCAGTATATCAGCCATTTGAACTGATGCTTCACTGCCATACAATCTTGAAGACCTACGGAATAAAGAATAATAAGTGAGAAGGGGGACCTACCTGAAAACCTTAATGATATAGGCAAACATTCAGGGTCAAGGCGACTACACATTGGGTAGACAACACATCGTCACAAACAGCTGGCTATCGTGCAAAGATAAGGCGGCATTAGCGCGACAGCTCCCATGCGGCTTTCACTGCCCCGCGTCATAAGCAGCCATTATTACCCCACAGATAATTCAGCACCAAACACACTTTAAACAAGAAATCCGATTAGGAGACGATAGTAGGCGTGCCAATAGTATCGACTGCGAACCATGTCCTGTAAGCTCTCCAGCCAAGCACAAGGCGGGTCACTTGGACTCCAGACCGGAAGCCGAGAAGGACCAACGGCACTGAGTTTGGTCGTCAGTGACTTCATTTCCCGCTGCCAAGTAAACTTCTGTCCACCTCGAGCCCTGCGCTACCTTACATACGGCAAACTAAACAAGACCCACTTAGCTAAGCGATGACCAGGCATACGTGTGAGGTGCCCAAGCCAACGCAACATATTCAAGGCTATCTGTTGTTCTAAGGAACTAGCTGGGTAATCACTACATAGTACTCTCTTACGTACATCATCGTTGTAGACACGCTGGTGTCATCCGACACCAGCAATGCTCCGCAGGCAACGATGATCAAAGACTTGAACGCGCCGCAGGTTCTCAGATAGGAGGGACTATGTCTCGCTTCCATAAAGCAAGACGCCACTCAATGTAACATTGTATACACGGACTTTTAGACGAAGGGAAACTCCGTCTCACGCTACAGATGTCGCAGATTCAAAAAGACAGTTCCAGCTTTTGCAATGCGTGAACTGACTTCAGTTTCTATGCGCCCATCGTTCCTGATGCAGCAGCCAAAATAAGTGGATTGATCAACAACCTCCAGTTCCTCGTCATCAAGGGTCAAGGGGGCATCAAGTGGCTGGTGGTTCTGCAGCAACACTGCACTTTGAAGGTGCGAAGTGCATACCAAGTAATGGAACCACTCTAGGCAGGCTATTCAGGGTTGATTGTGCCGCCGCAACATCGTCAAAAAGCACGACAATATGTCCGCATAATCTAGACCAACTAGATTTCCACCAAACAGTACCTTAACGCCTACATCATGAGATTCCACAAGGGAACACTCCATGATACAGCCCACAACGAAATAAAACAAAAATAGGGAAGCCGGACAGCCCTGACGAACGCCACTTGTGGTCGGAAAGCGATTCGACAAGTCACCGTAGACCCTAACACGGTCTGTAATGTTCGAGTATAGAGCACGTAAGAGATCCACATATCTCGTGTGAACAAATTTTTGGCTAGCATTTCCAACAGAATGGATCCATAGACTGAATCGAACGCACGCTGGAAATCGAGGAACACAGCTATTGTCGGTCTGCGGTATGCGTGACGCTGATGTAGCATCCACCTCGGAGTGAATATGTGATTTATACAGCCAGGTCCTGGGCGGAAATCTGCCTGCTCTTCCCTAATCCGAGATTCCCGTTCCACAGTGAGGCGACGAACGAGAATCAGAGCCAGTAATTTTGGCACTGCGGGCGTTGTTTTAATACCCCTGTGATAAGAGCAGTCTTTGCAACAACCCTTCTGGTATATTTCCACTATAATCGATTCGCTCCAGTTAGGCGGGATACCCTTCCTTCTACCTACGGTAGTATATGGAGGTCATTGCTTTTCACAGGATCTAAACCCCATCCTTAAATAATACAAGTGGGAAGGAATACGGGCCAACGGCAAGAAAACGACTGACATCGGCTTCCGATGGAGCCTCTAAACTAAATGTCCATCGCTCGTCCTGCATCATCTGAATAAAAAGTGGTCAGGGAGCCAGGGGCCAACTGAAATGCTCTTGAAAGTGTTTCACACAACGAGGCATAAGGCGCTCCTTATTGTGTATCAGGGCACCCCCGCTGTCACCCATATTCTCAATGACGACTGGTTTCACGGAACCAGTGGTGCGGATCAGCTGGAAGAGCTTGTGGTAATTAGCTACTGCTCCTGACTCCTCCATTTCTTGAACCCGACTAACCCACCAAACTTCCTTGTCAGCATGTAGGCTCCGCTTTAGTTCGCATCTAATAGCCAGTCTGGTCCTACTGTGCTCAGGAAGAGCCAGGAGTTTTCTTCTGGATTCCAACAAGTACACCGACCTCTGATATCCAGTGAATGATGTGGTGACGATTGACAGTACCGCAAGTGGATGCTCCTGTATGGTGCATGGCCGCCGACATCCTATTCCATTAAAGTTCATTGTCATTAGGACAAGACAGCAAACGTTCGGTACGCAGTGCGTCCTGACAGGCTTGCCTAACCGAGGGTTGAGACATTTTCTCAGTGGCAAATCGGAGGAAACGTTTGGTGCGCCTCCCGGTAAACTTCATGGAGAAACGACAGGGCAAGAAGGCATGATCAGAGTCGACGTAAGTACCACAGGAAGAACGACAATCCAGGATGGAACCACGCCACCTGTAACTTATGGCAATGTGGTCAATTTGAGTCCATCGCTGGTCAGCTACAGGAGGACGCAACGTGGCACTTCGGCGCCCACTGGGTCTAAGAGCAGTGCTACTAAGAAACAACTGGTGCTCTGCACACAGTTGCAGCAAACGCTCGCCGTTGTCAGCCCGTTCGGAGTTAAGCCCAGAATTACCACCCAGCTGAGCCTCTGAAGAGCTCAGACGCCCTCCTTGTGCATTCATATCATCTGAAAGTACTATAATATCGGAACTAGTAGCACTGTGTAGTAGCGCGTTCAGTTCATGATAGAATGTGGCCTTGACAGCATTTGAACTGCAGTCGGTGGGAGCATAAGCGGAAATCACAAACAAACAGCGTTTTGTGCTATTTCATGAATTAACCTTACCTGGGGTCGTCAAACCGGTTGCACACAAACGGCTGATCACTGGAATCTAATCGACCATCGTTTTCTCAGCCTTGGAGCTCGGAACAATGCCCACTCCAGCTTGACCAGTGGTTGCTGCATCGGCGTCTCCTGGTGTGTGTAACCAATAACGAGAGGACAAACCGGGTGCAGTTAATTCAACAACCCCATTAGGGTCATTGATCCTAGTTTCGGACACACAACACACATCAATACCCAGTGTGTCCAAGGTGCATGCGAGTGCAGCCTCTTGACCTATTTGTCTTAAAGTGCGAACGTTGAACGACGCCAAGGAAACGGGATAGCGTGGACTTATAAAGGACTGTTGCCGAGAGGAATTCGATGCTTGCTGTGGATAGGTGGCTGGAGATGGTTTTAGTCCAGTGGCACTTCGGTTGCTGTCAATTAAGCTGGGAAGTATAGAAGGAACGTAAGTAATGAGGGTCGGGATGGGAGTAAAACAGGTGGAAATGGAAGATGGGAGGCGCCAGCAGTTGCATGCTTTCGCTTATCCGACCTGCTGTGTGCAGCAGATAAGGCGACCCTTGATAATCTGCGAGACGGTCGATGCAGGATGAAGTGTGTCTGAAGAAAAAGTCACGACGTCTTTAGTGACGGCCAGTAGTGCGCACCCGTTATCACCTTCCACGTACGCTACGGAAATTTCATGAGTTCTGTCGATGCTCGTTTTCACAGGTATGATAACAAACTGAAAGACGAACGCCTTTGCAAATGTAGCATTGCTAATTCCAGTTGGGTCAACCTCACTGGACTCCTGCTAGTTGTCCACAAGTGCTGCTTTCCGTCAACGAACAAAAGGTGAAGAGGTCAAATGATGAAACAAGAAACTACGAGAAAACTGACCCGAATATCAAATTACGCTGGTTGGCATCATTTCTCTGCGTAGGTGAATAGTAGTGATTACGTCAGTGACTGGAAGACCTATTTGCGATGGGGAAGTTACAAACACGGCTTTTCCGGTTGGTTGCATTAAATTGTTTCACTCATAGACGGCCTAGCCCCGATAGTTGTAATGTTACAAAAGGTGGCATGCTTGGAACTGATGAGTCAGCAATTCACGATAGTGATGAGAGACATGGCAAACCGACCGGACGTATCTTCATCTATGTTCATAGATAGTTAGATAGATAGTCTCATTAGCTCAAGAAGATCAAGTAATGAGTCGAGAAAATCTTGCAGTGTATCGTCTAGATAGAAGCATTCAAAAGGGAGCATTAGGTTAGCAACATTGCGGTAAGAGGAAGGGGATGAACGCCCAGTAAAGGGAACTACAGTCATACCTGCACTTGGAACAACAGGAAGAAAATCAAAGCGTAGACTCTGTCCATAATCGTAGCACCCAATGGGGAGATGGCTGTGGTCGAGGCCTCAAACGTTGGTGGCAGTTCTCGTGAAGTATCTTCGCGTAAAAGTGAAATCCGATCGCAGATTTTCTAAATGGAAACGGACGACAAATATATGTACGTTATTTCGCATCATGGATCAAGAAAGAGCTCGGGTCAGGGTGATGGTGAAGGGGAAAAGTTGTAACATAACGACATCGCTGTATTCACTTCGTGTGTGGTGCCGTTTGTGTTCCGACGGAAATCAGATAACCCTAAGTATGCTTGGGTGTGCATGCAAACTTGCAAAATGTTGCGAGACAGTAGAAAAGTTAGGATCGCTTAAACGTAGGTGGCGTTCTAAGGTGTAGCAAATTTCCAAATCTTTGGGAAGCAATATTTGTCACAGTTCCCTAAGTAATGATAGGAAAATAGTTAGTCATCTAACCCGATGAGATGGTTCGTCATTGAACACAATAGTTGGCGGTATCCGGTACCGGATTTATTGTCACAGCGGCCTCTATGGGGACAGACACAGGAAGCCTGCACCTACACAGGGACCATGGGTGTAACAACCACAGCTCCATCTACACACCCCATATCCGGTGCAAACACGAAGGAGTAGGACCAGGAGGTATGTGTAGGGGAGTTACGTTCCATCAATGGAGCCGGCCCACACTCCTTCAACATGCACAGTAGCAGCATTCCTGTCTATCTAACTTGGGAATCATGCGTACCAGATGCACGCACAAGGCGGTGGCTGAGCCACAGACCGCTGCACCCTCGATGAAATCACTTTTCAAGCTTAGCACAGCCACGAGGACCGTGCACCTCGTCTCACACCCAACAAGGATTCACAGTCTCCTGGGACCGGAAATCAAGGTGGAGGGTGTTGGACATGAAACAACAAACACAGAATTTGAAGGAAAATAAACACGCGAAAGTGACACGGACTATGCAGCAGAAAAATAGAACTGAGAGAATCAAATAGTGGAGTACTTTTTATCCAGATTAAGAAGAGAAAGTTTAGGTGTGATTGGGTGTAGCCCAACTGCGTTGAAGAAGCATGCTGTATGCAACATAAAACACAGCTTGAGGCAGCAGTGAACATAATAACGCACCCTTAATGCCCGTATTGCACAGAAACCTGTGAGAGAAAGTTGAAGCAGCTGGTTACACGATTAGGTCGAGCAGTGAGAAAAACAACGAACGGAAGTCGCAACACCTTAGATGGGATTGTCATAATACTTCTGGGAAAAAACAGGAAAGTCATAAATATGGAAAATGGTGGGATCTAACGCAATAATTGATACAGAGCCGGATCCGGCCCACGGGACGTAGTCTGGTGAGCCCTGATGAAGGAAACTGAATTATGCGAGACTAGGACGGATGTTATGACCGGATACCAGCCATTAAGGGCGTGGTCAAGAAATCCCAATAGGACAGAAAAGCGCGATGACGGATGTGCGGTGACCATCTGACTAAAGCTGGCAGCTACCGCAGTATATCGCAACTAGGAAATAGCTATGGAAGTTCGCTGAGGTCGGTCATAGAACAACAGCCTAATGTGCTGACTCATAAGAGGAAGGATATGGGTCCGAATCCTGTGCTGTCAAGGAGTCTGGCCGTCCAGCGCTTTCTCGGGAGGCATGGTGGCTGTCAAGGACAAAAATCCATATGTGTTATTATATTGCTCTTTAGAACGCTACAATGTATAGCAAATGTTTAGCCTAAATCAGATGTTGATTGCAGCTTTAACATACCTCTTGTCATCACACATCATCATTATGCACGTTATCTAGGGGTGTAAAAACACCACAGCTACTGTGCCGCAATACATAAAAGAAAATAAATACAACCGTTGCATGCCAGCTGAGCTACTAGCAACGGATGGGCATCGCTCCGGTAAGCTACCTGCCGGCTACTATGCAGCAAAAAAAGTAATTTCCTATGCAAAACAATGAGATCATGGTTGGAGGGGGAGGCTAAGAGGAATGGAGTGGGACAAAGAAACTCATAGCATGAACGCCACTGAGGTCGACTCCTTGCCATGTCAGCAAGTGTATCCAACCAAACGAGTTCATCGTCCTTTGGACCACAACCAGGGAGCCGAGACGCTCCAACCGAGGCCAGCTCAAAAGTGAGGGTCATCATTCCTCGCGACAAAGTCATCGTTTGGCCACCTCTCCTCTTCTTCCATCCACACCCCAGGCGCCCAAACAACGCACATCGCGCGAGTCAGTGGGCTGACATGCGCAACACGTGGCCGAGCCATCGGAGCCTGGTGCGTGAAATGACGGTGCTGAGTGGTTCATTTCCTTTTCCTGTGCCGTAAACAAGGCGTCGAACATGCTCGTTGCTCACGCGGTGTCCCCACCAGATGTGAACCAAACTGCGAAGACACCGATCGCCTCATTATGTCTGATGATCAAGGGGGCCAGGTTTCACAACTGTACAGTAAGGTTGTACACTCTACCTTTCAGGATAAGAACGATGTCACGCCAAAGCCATAGGTGGCGAAGATAAGTGAAAGCACTTCGAGCTTTTGCTATACGGTTCGTAATCTCGTTTTCGATCCAAAGGGCGCTGATACAACTTCCCAGGTAGTTGAATTTCTGAACGACTTCCAGCTGATCCCCACCAAGGAGGCGATCCCTGCCAATCTTGGAGGAACGCTTTGCACTTCGATGGTGCAAAGCAAAGCCCGAAGCGACTGCCAGCCAGGGCTAATCTGTTCAGTGCTTCTTGGCACGTCTGGGAGCTGTCACAGATGAGGGCAATGTCGTCTGCATACTCCAAGTCAAGTAGTCGCTCTCCTGGGAGTAGCTACACACCTTCTATGTCGTGTCCTGCAAATGCAATTCCCATGACTTCGTCAACAGCGAAGAGGAAAGGTGACAACGGGCATCCTTGTCTCACACCGTTGGAGATATTGAAGGGCGACGACAGCTTACCGTAATCCCTCACTCTGCTAGTGTTACGCGTGTATAATACTCGGGTAATATTTACATATTCCTCGTGTACACCTTTCCTGAGTAGACAGTCCCAAAGAGTACATCAATCAACCGAATCGAATGTACCTTTGATGTCGAGGAACACGAATACGGTGGGCCGCCAATATATGTGACGGTGCTCCAACAATTGACGCAAGGTGAAGATGTGGTCAATGCAACCACGACCTCGACGAAACCCGGCTTGTTCTACACGAATCTGGAGTTCACGAGCGCCAGTCAGTCTGTGAAGGATTAGGGAGGCGAGTAATTTGGAGGCAATGGGGATCAAACTGATTCCTCTGTGGTTGCCGCATTCCGAACGCGAGCCGCCTTTGAACATGGGAACAATAAAGGAGTGGCTCCAGTCGGTAGGGACCGTTTCCTGCTCCTATAGTTTCACTAGCAATTTGTGTAAATCGTCAACATGAGCAGGGCCCTCGAATCTGAAGAGGGAAGGATGAAGATCATCTGATCCCGCAGCCTTATTCAACGTCAACAGTCCGATCGCATGTTTGACTTCTGAGCGAGAGGGCGGATCCGAAGGGACAGCCAACGGATCAGGGCAATCACTGGCCGGTGAGGAATCGAACAATTCTGACCGATTAAATTGCTTTTCAAAATGCTCAGCCCAACACTACAAACGTTTTGACAAAGTTGTGGATAGGCTGTCCAATATCGTGACAAATTGTTTCATTAACACTAGGACTGCTGATGCCCGACAACCGTATCAGACGGAATAAGTTTCGGCAGTTACCAAAGGCGACGGCTACTTCCATCTCTGACGCACGAAGAGACCACCAGGATTCGCGGGCTCTTCAGGCTATCACGGAGTTTTTCCCGGAGCTCTTTGGGAGTTTCATTGTGTTCGCTTCCAGCCGGAATATGTCGGCGAGCATCTATAAGTTCCAGAGACTGCGAAGAGACCCAACCTTCATGTTGGCTACTAGACTTACCACATGAGGAGTTGGCTGCTGCTAATAAGGTCTGGTGGACATGTGAGCAGTGACCATCAGTCGTCTCCAGTGAGCCTTTACTCAACTCGCATGTCAGTGTATACTGATGAGCATTCAGAACAGCTGGCTTTGTCAGTTGGCTGGTGTCAATGCGCTTGCAACGTCGTCGTATGCGTCAGCCAAAACGCATCCGCATGTCAGCACATACAAGTGCATGGTCGGTGTCCACACATGTGCTCCAAATCGAGCGACCGTTCTGGATGCAGCCTCTCCAGCAGTAACTGATTGCGATGTGATCGATTTTCGTCCAAAGACGATTCGAGACCGGTGGGTCCCAAATCACCCTCCGCTGGGTGCTGTGTCGGAAATTAGTGCTCGCAAGAAATAAGCGGGCATCTTCACACAAATGAAGTAACCGCCCACCGTTATCAAAACGGGAGCCTACACCGTGCTGAGCGTTCAGATGCAGTTCATCAGTGGACAACTTTCCAACTTGTGCGTTCAGATCCTCCGCCAGCACAACGGTGTCCGTGCTTCTTCTGTGGCGAAGGATGGCGGTAAATTAGCGGTAAAAGTCGTCGTTTACCAAATCATCGCTTAAGTTTGTGGGCATGTAGGCAGCGATGATGAATAGACACCTAGTAGTCCCGCGCGACTTCGAAGTTTTGAACGAGCCAACAAATCGGATCGCACACATCCGGCTACTGACTAGGATCCAGAGCAGCCTCAGCCCGGGGACTTAGAGCAATGCCAACACCAGCTCGGCTGGTGCTCGAAGCTGCATCGTCACCGGATAGGCGCAATGAGAAAATACTGTGGGTGTCACCTGAAGGGGATCCCAGAGTGAGTACAGAGCTCGAGTCTTGCAAGCGGATCTCGGATAAATAGCAGATATCGACCGAGAGGGTCTCTAAAGTTCGGTCAAGTGAGGCCTGCTGACCATTCTGTAGCAATGCGCGTACACTGAGGCATGCCAAGCTGAAGGATGATCGAGGGCTACAAATGGAAGCGGATGAATTGCGCTTGTCGACAAAGCATGAGTGACGCTACGCGTTCACATGTGAGTTGAAAGTAAAAGGTAAACGCCTATCAAAGCATGTTAGGGGAGGGAAAATAATCGGGGGTTGAAAACTGGGGGGATAAAAATGAAGTTGGAAAGGGACCATAAGGGAGAAAAAGCGTAAGAGGGGGAATAAGAAGACGGGAAGGCTTGAGCAGTAGCATCCACACCCTTATGCACCCTGCCTGACGCAGCAGATAGGGTGCTGTTGATTATCCTCTGCAAGGGACAGAGCATCAAGAAATTGTTTGAGGATAGACTCATAGTATTGCGTGAGCAGGATCCTTTCAGGCTGCCCAAGCCTAGACAGGAGAAGGATTAAGGTTATCAACCAAAGACTTGGGTTCAAAAACCTGACCGCAAGGCAGCGGGTTTGGCGTTGGGCTACAAGGAGTCCGTTTTAAGGAATAAGGAGCCACCCTCTTACCAACCTCCAACCTGGAGGACCAGGAGGCTGAGTTTGTCTGGCCTCTAACCATTGACCAATCTGGTATGAGTGGCTCTGAAGGTGCAAAAATGCACCACCCAGTATAGCTCAATGGATCACTGAGCCACATTAACCATCGCAAAACGGTAAGGTGCAGCCTCATTACATAATTGCTATTTGTCCTTCATCCAAAAAGAATACTCAGCTCCGTCCGCATTCGGAGCTCTCCATCAGGGCGCCATGAATTAGCCTGTGCTCACTAGGAGCAGTGAAATAGACAACCGTGTGAGACGACGTCATCACCTAGCAGGCTAACCACTGCCAGTGACAGTGGTAGATAGGTGGTGCTATATCCCAGCTAGTTTGCAAATTATGTAGTCCAGCCAACGTCCCCCATGGCTCAGTGTCTTAAGCTGCTGGCTAGTTGGCATCTGCCTCTAGCGGTCATGGGTTTGATTATCCTTAGAGGACCGAGGGAAGGCTCGCCACTGACGAACCCCAATGGGGCGAAACGCGTCTGATGGTTTTCCGGACTAGGCGGCTATGTAGCGTGTGAATTGTGGGGATGAAAGCCTTATCAGATTTACAATAAAAATCCTGCTAATAATGAGTACTATAAAAATGGCGAAATCGGACAGCCCTGACGAACGCCACTTGTGGTCGGAAAGCGATTCGACAAGTCACCGTAGACCCTAACACGGTCTGTAATGTTCGAGTATAGAGCACGTAAGAGATCCACATATCTCGTGTGAACAAATTTTTGGCTAGCATTTCCAACAGAATGGATCCATAGACTGGATCGAACGCACGCTGGAAATCGAGGAACACAGCTATTGTCGGTCTGCGGTATGCGTGACGCTGATGTAGCATCCACCTCGGAGTGAATATGTGATTTATACAGCCAGGTCCTGGGCGGAAATCTGCCTGCTCTTCCCTAATCCGAGATTCCCGTTCCACAGTGAGGCGACGAACGAGAATCAGAGCCAGTAATTTTGGCACTGCGGGCGTTGTTCTAATACCCCTGTGATAAGAGCAGTCTTTGCAACAACCCTTCTGGTATATTTCCACTATAATCGATTCGCTCCAGTTAGGCGGGATACCCTTCCTTCTACCTACGGTAGTATATGGAGGTCATTGCTTTTCACAGGATCTAAACCCCATCCTTAAATAATACAAGTGGGAAGGAATACGGGCCAACGGCAAGAAAACGACTGACATCGGCTTCCGATGGAGCCTCTAAACTAAATGTCCATCGCTCGTCCTGCATCATCTGAATAAAAAGTGGTCAGGGAGCCAGGGGCCAACTGAAATGCTCTTGAAAGTGTTTCACACAACGAGGCATAAGGCGCTCCTTATTGTGTATCAGAGCACCCCCGCTGTCACCCATATTCTCAATGACGACTGGTTTCACGGAACCAGTGGTGCGGATCAGCTGGAAGAGCTTGTGGTAATTAGCTACTGCTCCTGACTCCTCCATTTCTTGAACCCGACTAACCCACCAAACTTCCTTGTCAGCATGTAGGCTCCGCTTTAGTTCGCATCTAATAGCCAGTCTGGTCCTACTGTGCTCAGGAAGAGCCAGGAGTTTTCTTCTGGATTCCAACAAGTACACCGACCTCTGATATCCAGTGAATGATGTGGTGACGATTGACAGTACCGCAAGTGGATGCTCCTGTATGGTGCATGGCCGCCGACATCCTATTCCATTAAAGTTCATTGTCATTAGGACAAGACAGCAAACGTTCGGTACGCAGTGCGTCCTGACAGGCTTGCCTAACCGAGGGTTGAGACATTTTCTCAGTGGCAAATCGGAGGAAACGTTTGGTGCGCCTCCCGGTAAACTTCATGGAGAAACGACAGGGCAAGAAGGCATGATCAGAGTCGACGTAAGTACCACAGAAAGAACGACAATCCAGGATGGAACCACGCCACCTGTAACTTATGGCAATGTGGTCAATTTGAGTCCATCGCTGGCCAGCTACAGGAGGACGCAACGTGGCACTTCGGCGCCCACTGGGTCTAAGAGCAGTGCTACTAAGAAACAACTGGTGCTCTGCACACAGTTGCAGCAAACGCTCGCCGTTGTCAGCCCGTTCGGAGTTAAGCCCAGAATTACCACCCAGCTGAGCCTCTGAAGAGCTCAGACGCCCTCCTTGTGCATTCATATCATCTGAAAGTACTATAATATCGGAACTAGTAGCACTGTGTAGTAGCGCGTTCAGTTCATGATAGAATGTGTCCTTGACAGCATTTGAACTGCAGTCGGTGGGAGCATAAGCGGAAATCACAAACAAACAGCGTTTTGTGCTATTTCATGAATTAACCTTACCTGGGGTCGTCAAACCGGTTGCACACAAACGGCTGATCACTGGAATCTAATCGACCATCGTTTTCTCAGCCTTGGAGCTGGGAACAATGCCCACTCCAGCTTGACCAGTGGTTGCTGCATCGGCGTCTCCTGGTGTGTGTAACCAATAACGAGAGGACAAACCGGGTGCAGTTAATTCAACAACCCCATTAGGGTCATTGATCCTAGTTTCGGACACACAACACACATCAATACCCAGTGTGTCCAAGGTGCGTGCGAGTGCAGCCTCTTGACCTATTTGTCTTAGAGTGCGAACGTTGAACGACGCCAAGGAAACGGGATAGCGTGGACTTATAAAGGACTGTTGCCGAGAGGAATTCGATGCTTGCTGTGGATAGGTGGCTGGAGATGGTTTTAGTCCAGTGGCACTTCGGTTGCTGTCAATTAAGCTGGGAAGTATAGAAGGAAGGTAAGTAATGAGGGTCGGGATGGGAGTAAAACAGGTGGAAATGGAAGATGGGAGGCGCCAGCAGTTGCATGCTTTCGCTTATCCGACCTGCTGTGTGCAGCAGATAAGGCGACCCTTGATAATCTGCGAGACGGTCGATGCAGGATGAAGTGTGTCTGAAGAAAAAGTCACGACGTCTTTAGTGACGGCCAGTAGTGCGCACCCGTTATCACCTTCCACGTACGCTACGGAAATTTCATGAGTTCTGTCGATGCTCGTTTTCACAGGTATGATAACAAACTGAAAGACGAACGCCTTTGCAAATGTAGCATTGCTAATTCCAGTTGGGTCAACCTCACTGGACTCCTGCTAGTTGTCCACAAGTGCTGCTTTCCGTCAACGAACAAAAGGTGAAGAGGTCAAATGATGAAACAAGAAACTACGAGAAAACTGACCCGAATATCAAATTACGCTGGTTGGCATCATTTCTCTGCGTAGGTGAATAGTAGTGATTACGTCAGTGACTGGAAGACCTATTTGCGATGGGGAAGTTACAAACACGGCTTTTCCGGTTGGTTGCATTAAATTGTTTCACCCATAGGCGGCCTAGCCCCGATAGTTGTAATGTTACAAAAGGTGGCATGCTTGGAACTGATGAGTCAGCAATTCACGATAGTGATGAGAGACATGGCAAGCCGACCGGACGTATCTTTATCTATGTTCATTGATAATTACGTGAATACGGAATTAGATTGCAACGAACGGGTGACAGCACTGTTGGTAGTGCTCACTCAACAAATAACCAAAAGTTAGCTATTCCAGACTGGAGAGACGCACAACAAACCCGGGGACTGAGTGGGATAAACACAGGGAGAAATTGAGTTATTCTTTGGTGATTATGGGCTGAGGCGCGCATACACCTAGCAATGCAACTAGTAATAATTCATCTAGGATAAGAAATATGAGGAGAGTGGGTTCACTGATAAAATTGAATATTCTTTGTTGAAATCTAACGTCAGCATACAATGAAGGTAATTAGATCAGCAAATGAAGTGCATACGACTCCATGCATTCGTCATAACATAGAGAGCGGGAAAATGCTGTGTGGATGTCTCTCTCACCTTGAGATACAGTGTGTTAACCAGTTCCATGAAGAGAGGAAGGCCAAAGTGAAGCACACCGGAGACAATTCGTGAGAGCACAGTGAACACGGTAAAGGTGGTCATCCAATGGGCTATGGAGAGAAAGGTAAGTGGGAGTACAATGTGCAAGGACCAACCGTAACCGAGAGAGATTGGTGTGAAGCACGCAAAGTAAGAGCTTCATCTCAAACTGTGCCATGCAACAACGCCTACCAGCATCCCAAAATAGAAAAACCACTTAACCACAACAATAACATGACGGAATTCGAATAGGCGAATGCGTCAGGAACATTTGTGGCACTCGACCTGCCCGATGACTGTGATGATATGGTTATGATTTGAGGTAGCAAGTGCAGAGTTCACAAAGTGGACAAGAATGTACGAGAGGATACGGGATGAGGTGCAAAAACGTCACCCAACAAAGTTCTGCACCGTTAGTCAGTAAACGACGGGAATGCATGGGTAACGGCCGGTGTGATGATGGCTGATAGTTTATGAGTGGAACTGATGTGGTGCTGGTGGACAGAAAGCCACTGAAGCACCACCAACATGAATTAAACACAACCGCACAGGTCGGACAGACAAACATGAATCGGTGCAGAATGAATGAACCAAACGCAGCGTAGTTGTAAACCGGATTGGCCCGGACCACCGCGAGCGAACAGCACGTGCACCCTAACGAACGTACATCGACGACACGGACTATGATGACGACTGGGGGAGCAGGTGAACGGGACCGACGCGGAATCATTGGGCAACAACCCAACAACGAGCGCGTTCCAGGTGAGCTGGCCGGATGGACCACGCGGAAACAGTGCGAACGTGCATGAACCGAGCACAACGCACGAACGACACATGTTGATCAATAAATTTGAGCAGACGGCACAGAACAAAAACAAAGAACTAAGTATTCAAAAGCTGCTACTATAAACAAAGGCTTGAGATCTAGGTATGGCATATATGTCCCTAAAATGTAGGGATAAGGGATTTTTAATTGTTGGCAAACTTTGTTTGTACGCCACACGGGTACAAGACATCCAGTGTGCACATAGGCGGATATTACGCCCCTAATGTCTAAGTGTTTAATTGACTGATGCATTGGCGGTTTCCATTGCAGAGTGGCCGCGGGAGAGTACATTCAAAGCGAAAAGCCGATGAGTTTTTGTACTTGTAATATCAGTGACATCCAACGGCCGTGCGTCTCAGCGAGGAAAAATAGTTGCATTGAAAGTACGCTTAACGAGGTAGGAAGGCATTACAGGAACATTTTTATACTCCAACAACAGGATGGTCATGTGGACAGCGAACCGCGGTAATGAGTGTGCACTTAAAACTTCATATGCATAGTTATGAATTTGTGTACAAATATGTGTATCCACTCGGACTATCTTTGACAGAACTCACTTTGATACTCTTGAGCGTGGAAAAACGAAATGGTGTAGGATGGAATCGCCAATAGCTGCACAAGAAAAGATCAGAGAATAACAGGATTAAGTAGTGTGATCCCGGATGTTGAGAAGCAACCGAACGCACATGCACGTTAGATAGTAAAAGCGATGTGTGACCATGCAAGCTGTATGCATATACTTCTGTAAACCGGGGCATGCAAGTCAGACTCGGCGGCATTAATCCATTAAACTCGGTGAGTAGTACATTAACTCCACCATCCTCTTGGGAAGCAAACAAGTCGGATATTGATGAAGGTAAAAGTAATTAGAAGTCTGAAGAAACCATATATATAAAATCGTTGAAGACGGCGGCGTTCTTAAAAAAGGATTCATCCCATAGAAATCGTTCAAGTTCATTTGTGTGTCCATATCTGCAGCCGATCTTTGAATGAAAATAGCTGGAAAGTAGTCGATCAGTAGCTGGCCTAAGTGACCATCTCGAAATGGTAACAGCAGAGGACACTCGTGTTTCCGAGAACATCTGTGGCTATTTCTGTATCTTACGATTTCGTTGAAGATCGCTGTCAAGGCAGTTTACTTCTAAATCGGGTGTTTAGCTGAATCTAGATCTGAAATAGTGGTCTAAAAAGTTCGCATCTGAGCTGGAATTCGCAGACGTGAAAAACCCATATACTACTGTGGAAACATAAGAAGCAAGATGTGAAATCAGTAGATGAGGAAATCTATTACCATGAAACCAATAAGCAAGTCACCGGTGCTCCGGATACTGAAGTCTCGGCTGCGAGGTGCCAACTACACTCCGACGGGACATCCACCTCCTAGATGTAATTGGAGGCGTTTGTGGCCATCCAAAGCAGCAAGAAATAGTGAGCTGCGGATAGAATACCGTGGAACACGAAATACGTCGACCGACTGCGCACTCAGAATGTATGCCGTCAAGGGTGCATAAAATGGAAGGGGAGGGGAAATATTCGAAATGTTGGGATGTCAAGAGAGATTCGGCGAGCAGCAGCCGATAAGCAATGAAGCGAGGGATTATAACGAGTATAAAAGCAAATGCTTGACAAGTCCCGTAGGGTGAAAAGTACAAAATTAAAAATAATTTCGATAAAAGAACTCGCTAGATATAACTTGCCAAGGTATGTAATAGCACAGCTGTGAGTTTTCCTGCCTAGAGGATTATGACACCGTCCAATGTTTGTACTGCACTAATGCCACCACTTTATGATCATGGATTATATCGGGTATTGTAAATGTCAGTGTATCGTCAAGGCGCGTTTTGAAAAGGGATAAGTTGGGAGCACTAATTACATGCGCTGGAAGAGTGTCCCAAGGCTGTGACACGTAACGAAGAAAAAGGGTTGTTGGCATTCTAGTTGGCCGTACTGTCTAGTCAACTTAAAGTGATGTGCACTGGCTGAGTTCCAAAAGATGTTCGCAAATGTGGTTGGGGTTTGGAAACAAAGGTGGAATGCAGCAGAGCTCAACCATGGTAGGAGAGTTGGGATAGGTTTCCATTATCCCGCAAGTCCGCAGCGAAATGCAGATGGTTTTTGTTGATCCGACGTAATCAAACAAAAAATTCCGGAGCCGTAAAAGGGTACGGTGTATTGACGGTAATGTCCAAAACAGTTACATCCATCGGGGGTCAATAAGGTGTGGTATACCCATCAGTAAACAAACGACGGTGAAGCAATCAAAGGGGTCCAAAAATCTGATAACACGGCTACTGACTCCAAGCTTCACCGCAAAACAGAAGTCTCATAAAAAACCGGACGCAGCGCATAGAATTATTTTCGGGTTGGCAGTAACCCCCGTGGCTTATTGTGACAAGCCACCTAAAATAAGAAGACGTTACATTGTAGTTAACTTCGGTAGTTAAGAGCACAATGAACAAAAAAAGGAATTTATACGGGTTAAGAAGCGTTGCTTTACAAGTCCCGTTGGATAGTTGGTGGGGATAACAAAATAACAATAATGATAGTAAAACAGTTAGTACTTTGTATATGAAAATAAGGACATCGTTTGAGAAGCCGTAGTCCTGCAATCTGCTTAGATTCACAGTACCCGCAGTTAACATCAAATAATTCCATGGTAAACTCCAGCAGTAGAATGGAGACGTAGTGCTAAGTGACAAAGTATAAGTGGATGTGTGCATTATCCAACCGTCTTTTAAATACTGTAGGTGTCAGTGTGGTGAAGACCGATTGTGGGAGAGCATTCCACGGGTGACCGACACGAATAGAAAAGAAATTTCTGCGGCACCCCAGACGACTATACTGTACAGCGAGTTTCAATGAGTGGCCCCTCACGGTTTTATTGGTGCTGAGTCGCAGTAAAGGGCGGCACACATGATGTGGGTCTCGCAGAATCAAGTATGCCATAATCAGGTCGCCTCGTAGTCTGCGATAGCTTCCACTGAATACCCTTAGTTGTTGCAGCCTCTCCTGGTATGAAAGATTGCGCATTCCAATTACGTTCTTAGATGCTCGACGTTGTGGCTGCTCCAGTGCATTAAGGTCGTGTTTCAGCCATGGATGCCAGGCTTGAATTGCGTATTCGACATGGGAGCGAACATACGCACTGAGCATTTGTCGAAATATGGAGCTGTTTATTTGTCCAAGCGCCCGTCTCAACAGCCCGACGTGCTAGCTTCCAGTCTTCGAGGCCTTTTCGGATTGCCTGGAGCAACCCAAGTCATCTTGAACCAGGACACCCAAGTCACGTTCGAGAGTTGATTGTTGCAGTATATTCGTTCCGAGCCGGTATGAGTAGCTGCTCTGATGTCGGATGGAAAGCACCTTGCATTTGCTGACGTTGAAATGCAGTAAGTTTTGGGTTGACCATTGATACACCGTAGCTAAGTCACTCTGAAGCACATGTTGGTCGGCGTTCGCCTGGATCCTGTACCAGATCTTGATATCCTCGGCAAACATTAAGAAGTTTGAAGCGATTCACTATGCAAGGTCATTAATAAACATCAAAAACAAACGTGGACCTAGAACTGAGCCTTACGGCACACCGCACTCAACTTATATGGGGTTCGAGAAAGTGCTCCGAACTCTGACCACTAAGTGCAGTTGAAGTAGAAAGTTGGCAATCCAGCTTAAAAGAGGGTGGCCGATCCCGTAATGCTGCAGCTTGGAGAGTAGTATCCGATGGTCTTCACGATTGAAAGCCTTGGAAAAATCCAGGTAGATCACATCAACGCCTTCCCCAACGTCAGCTGCCTCGGTACAACTACTGCATGCGATTAGTAAATTCGTTGTACATGACCACTGTCGACGGAAACCGTGCTGCTCAGGCGTGATGATGTTACAGTTTTCCAGATAGCACACCAGTGCATCGGCAACTATGGATTCCATGACCTTGGAGAGTATAGGAAGAAGGGATACTGGGCGGTAGTTGGAGGGCTCAGTTTCGCTTCCGTCTTTGTGAATCAGGGTTATTATTCCAAGCTTCCATATAATGGGAACTTGGTTCTGGTCTAAGCAGCTCTGGAAAAACTGAGCTAAAGGTCCTGCCAGTTGGCTTACTGCTGCTTCTAGTGCCTCTGGACGAATGGTATCGACAACCGGCGAGCTGTGTTTGCGTAGAGACGTCAGCTTTTGCAATACAGCCTCCGCAGTAAAAGTGATGTGGGTTAGTCCTGGCGGAGAGACGACAAAGGTTGGAAGATCGCTTGGTGGCAAGACCCTATGAAACGTGGGGGCATATTGCATCTGCAGCGCGTTTGCTACTTCCACAGCCGTTCCTGTTGGGCTATTGGCCGTCCTGGGTGGAGGAAATCCTTGGCTCACCTTTCGTAGGTTATTGACGTGTTTGTAGAGGAGTTTCTGGTTAGCACTGAAAGCTTTTACGATGTTCTGCTGGTATGCGACTTTGTCTTTTCTTAACAGTTGAGTGCAGTGGTTACGTTGGGCTACATAGTTGTGTAAGTTACTGGTGCTGGAGATTCTCTGTATACTCGCTATGCTGCTCCTAACGAAAGAAACTGATGCACAATTATTGCAAAGTCTTATCTCTGAAGACTCTGCAATCAGCTGACGGAATTTGTTAACGAACTCGAGCCAGGTGACTTCCGGGAGTTCCTCGGCAAGGAACGACCAAGTTGTAGCACTCAGGAACCAGGCTAATCGATCGTAGCTTGTGATGGTTCGCAAAGCATTATCGTTCCAATTCCGATAATCCGCAGACCAGAAAAAGCTGAAGTGAATGACTGTGTGATCACTGCGACTCAACGGGCAGTCTAAAACCAACAGATCAAACATACGCTCCTCGTTCGTAACCACAAGATTCAGCACAGATGGCCTGTTACCTGTTCTGAACCGAGTGGGCAAAGTGATGTGGTTGTAAAAAGGAACAGCGTTTACGAGATCTTGTAGGTCAGCTTTGAATCGTTCTCCGATCCTGGCAGGAGCTTCTACACAATGTACCTTGAAATCACCTAAGTATGTGAGTGTACTTTCGTTGTAAATTGCATCTTAAAGCAGCCGCTAGGTGACAGTCAGTTTCGCGTGCAGAGTTGGGGGGGGGCGATACACCAAGACAATAAGGCAAGCGTCCCTGCCTTTTAACTGCAAGCGGTACCAAAGAGAGTCGGGGAACTGCGAGTCTGAATCCTCCACGGCTTTGCACTGTAAGTCGTTTCGGTAATACAGGATTACCCCTCTTCCTTTTGTGAGCCTATCGTCCAAGATCAGCAACATGCCCGGTAGCGAAACTTCAGCGTTCGTCATTCCAGTGTGCAACCACGTCTCGGTGATATCAATGACATCATACGAGCCGGAAGCTTGGCGATCTTTCAGTTCAGCCAGTTTGTTAGAAAGTCCCTGAGCATTTGTATACAAGCAGGCCAGTTTCACGGTAACTAGGAGCACACAGAGGGATGAAGTGGTCAAGTGTGGGAGAATGTCGACCGATGGGAGGTCGGAAGTTACTCGTTTTTTGATGGGATAATGATACCTCGTTTGCAACTTGATTCGGCCCAAGTGCGTCCCAAGCTTCGTTTAGACCTAAGTCAGAGTCAATTAAGGCAGCAGTCAAGATACGCTTCTGCACATTCGTCAGTATGCTCGCTGCTTCAAGTGCTTTAATATTTGAGCTGTGCAAAGCTGCTGCGACCTCTAACCGAAGTTCAGAAGAAAGATTTTTCCGATTTCTCCGCCATCGATCAAAAACATCCGTTATTTGTTGCTCTGACTGAACCACAAGTTTTAGGATTCTAGGGCCGCATACTTGGAATGCAACCGATGGTGGGTCATATTCGTTTCAAGAAGCGAAAGCGATATGATTTATAAAACAATGCAGACAAATTAATACGGTGTAGATGACAGTGAAACAACTCACCAGTATCAGTCCAACATTGATGAGCCACATGCGCACTAATGGCTGAAACAGACCATCGGAATCGACGAGGTCAGTGGGGGTTGATATCGGTGGTGAGGGTGCGTGTGAGCTGTAACCGGATTCTCTCATTTTTTCTCTCAGCTGCATACGACGAGCGTGTTCCAAGCGATGTTTCTGAACATTCCTCAAATGTTTTTCACCGGGATTCAGTTGAATCAAGCGATTGTGCATATGCCATAAGCGCAAGGGAGCAAGAAGGAAGTCGAGTAAACCGGAAGCGAAACCTCGACTAGAGGCCATTTGTGCCCAGTAATAACTAGCTAAAATAGGAAGCATCACATTGAGGACATTTGTGTAATCGAAGAAAGCAGATAACTGAACAGTGTTGGTCCAAAAGAATTGAGGAATACTCGTGGATACAGGATTTGCTGATGTAGTTAACCAAAGATTCCTTATCGCAGGTTTAAGGACAGGGAGTTATACATACTCCCTGAAGTAGCAGACGGTCGTTTCGTCCTAGCAAGGCTCGTCAGTAGTGCCTGTCCCTCGACCTATCAGAATCCGAACTAGTGATTACTAGCAGCTAGCGCCACGAGCCATGTAGTAAGCGTCCAACTCTGTCCTCTGCAACGTTCGTAACTGGCATGGCAGTGGAGCATGAGTTGCGCTATATCGCATTCAGCTTGTAAATCATGAAGGTCGGTCGCCGTCACTCATGTGTCAGTGTTATAAGGTGATGACTAGTGACGCAAGTTCTACTGGTCAGGAATTCGGTCCTAATGGAACTGAGCGATGCACACCAAGTACCAGTTCGCAATAAAACGAAACGGCAGGCTAGTGCCTTTCCGGGAGTGTGGATGGCTCCGAGTAGAAAGCTGATGCGATGGAACTTGAAGGATTGAGGAAGTCAAAGCAGTGAGTACCATTGGACAGATAAGGAAACACTCAAAACGCGACAAGCGGTCGATATGATCAATACACAGCTGCGAAAAAGGTGAATAAAAGATGAGACAGATGGATATCGGGCGTTGCCAGTACGGAAATACTGCAGTGCACGACCGGTTTCGAACTTACTTGGTCCCGTCAGGTGCAGATAGCATGGACTTGAACTCTGGGTCATGGGGATGTTAGCCAAAACCAATACCACTAAGCGATGGAGGCACAGCGGGCAGCGATAGCCACGACAGTCAATGATTGGAAGGGTCACAATGAAACATTTGATGTGCGAATAGATTGCGACGCCCAATCTCAATGTGGACTGTGATTCGCACTGAGGTGTATCTTAGACAATGCGGTCACTGGGACTGTAAATGTTGTAGCAGATGCATATTGCTGCATCCCAGAAAAAGCCGCACTCTACGACGGCTTTCGAAGTTAAAGGTAGAAGTTTCGGCTAACATCCTAAGGGCTGCGGATTAGAGTGCATATTAGCTCTAACTAATGTTAGCAAATATACTTGAAACCGATGGTGCAGTGCGATGTTTTCAGCCAGGCAAAACCCACTATACATCCGCCTCACCAGTCACGGGCCCCGTTATCGAACTGGCCAAGAATTAGTCCAATGCGGATCGCAGGTCCTATTGAGAATAGGCGCCGCAATCTACGAAGACGAGTGCATCAGACATTCCTTCAATCAGAATAACAGATCTAAAAGGTAGTTACGACAAAATGAGGGGAAAAGTAAGCAATGTAGAAAACGAACCCAGACTCACAACTCGTCAGAGGGTAAACAAATGAGCCGGGGCACAGTAAAGTTCCCAATCGGATGTGCAAGCCATCATCATTAGCCAACTTGCGATATGGATACTGATGGAAACAACGAACATGGTCGACGAAATACGCGACGTAAAACAAAATGGATTTACAAACGACTCTGGTAGCATAACCAGAGTTTTAATCGCAGCTATTTGAAGAAAACTTGGTATTTTGGGACGATTACGCATTTAGTTATAACAAACGACGAGTGTGCATAGTCATACCAACAAAATAAAGCTCGGTGTCATTGTTTAGATATAGTATTAGGTACAACAGTTTTCTTTGCTTTTATCCTTAATCAATCCACTTTCAGTTAGCGAGGTATCCTTTTGCTTTTAGACTTTCGTGCCGCTCTGCTTGACGTACAATCATTACCTGTCGTTGAAATTTTTTTTTACCCAGATTCCAGGAACAAGTGCTGAACCTGATATCCTTTGGGCATGCCCCTTTAACTTTGATGCAATAACTATATTCTGTTTTGCATTGAATGAATTAACCATATTCCCAATTGCTTATCCCACCGAACAATTCACGGAGAAGACAGTGATTGTCAGTGTTGCCATCCAAATGGACCAACTAAGATTGTTAGTTGTTGAACATAGCGAACAAACACGTAGTAATTTGCGTGAGGAAGCTGGGGAACGAGTACAGCCGAGCGTCTCCATCGGTCAAATCACGGTGCTTCAGATCGGACGTGTTTTTTCTGTCGCAAAAGGGTGGGTTATTCCCATTACGATCCTATCCTCGCCTTAGAACGATGAGGAAATTACCATTGAAATGAACAGGGTATGCACCGGGTATGCACACGGTGTGATTAAGTTACTGGCTCGCTGTGACCGCAGCTGCTCAGATATCTACAGTTATTTCAGTCACTTCGAAACAGTCAACATTATGATGCTGTGCAATTAGCATCAAGTAACTCATGATTTCACTACTAAACCGAACAGAAAATCTCAGATGAGCGATAGGCTTGAGCAAAGTGAAACGGTAAACATGTATGAATTTCAAAGAACATCTGTGTGGCGTCACAGAAGAGCGAAATGAAACAAACAATAAACGATATGCAAAGCAAGTAGTTATGATGGGGCTGGTAGAACAGCTCTTACACTACCAATCATGACAGTGGCTCTGCAATCTTTCGAGTTTGGCATAAGAAGCACACCAATTAGGGTAAATTAGTGCACAACGGATGCTTTAGGCTAAGGCGAAACATGGCAGCAGACGTCACACCGGAAGTGTAGTTGAGGAGAAAAACCAACATTCTCATCAAGTGAGACCACACAAATAATTATTCATCATTCACACAAGAAAACTAACGAACAGTGTTCGCGAGCGTAGCCGTTACTGAAGTCAAGCCTTACTTGATGAGGTAGATAAGTTCGATAGACTGGTCCTGTAGCGAAACTCACCGCTAGGCAGCTCCACTGAGTGAGGATCTCCAGACCGTTGAGGGAAGAAAATATAGTGACGAACTTTCCTAACAATGCCTTGTAAGCCAAAGTAAAAAGAGTGAAATTGAAGTCACGTGTTTGCTTGTCCCAACGTCTGCTGTCCACAAATACTACTGTCGGTTATATTACTGGCACGCACGAAGACAGTGGAGATTACGGCTAGGTAGCCGGTGAGTACAATACGGTATTGGGCGAATTTCAGCAAGTACAAGATACCCAACGAGATTTCCATGAGAAAACAATGAGTTACGAGTGTAAAAGATGTTTCTCCACAGGAGGTAAAGATAAGCCCATTTCAATGGTGAAAGGGGCGAAACTTGCAGTAAACAGACCCTACATAGTCATTGTAAATATCGACAAAAAAGAAATGGATTAAAATAATACCTAAGTGGAATAACGCATGGTAGGTGAAACCATATAAATTAGTTGAAAATAAACCTGAAGAGAATAAAACAGTTGGTTGACGATCATGGATGATGAACTACAGGGGAAACTGGACAAAATATTAAAATACGTTGGAAATTGATCTAAAATACATGCGTTCAAAAGGGTTTAAAAACAGCCAGTTAATAATTTTGCAAACAACGTTTTACTTGTGAAAGAAAAGTTTCGTCATCCAATTGAAACAGTGGATGAGCAATGTATCAGTCATGACAACGGTATGAGTCGGCGAATACACGCGTTACAAGTCGAGGTGCTATCCCAAGTGGCAGAGTAAGAGTGGAAATGTCCCAAATAGTTAATGTTAGGGGGTAGTCGCATGGAGGTTTTTCATTGTGACTGGATGACTCTGATGCTGCATCTCTGTAGAAGATCCGTCTTCAGACGCGCCACTCCCTGGCCGGGTTAAGACAGCTTGATCTTGTGCATTCTGCCCATGCAGCTTCTGGTTTTGAGGATTCCGCCGACTTAGTAATCAACCTCACAGTCCCATCTTAATGAGTTCGACACTATCCAAGTCTATTGCATACACAGTGCCAATTGTGTGAACCGCTGCGGTTGAATCTCTTAGTGGAGTAATGTGTACAGGCGTGTTTCGCGATGGTAGGGACTTGCGTCTCTCCAGTTGAGTTTGGACGCTGCTCGCTCTCCCACTGCAGTTCACGACTGACCGGTTTTGCTTTCGTGTGGACTCATCAGGTAGATATATCCTGAGCTGAGAGCGGAATCAGACTTATAATGATTGATGGCTTCAGTTTGGTGACTAAAATAATGAGATACGTTAAACATGGGAATGTTCACAATGGGTATGGACTACAGTGCGTAATTTAAGACACAATCGCACAATTAGGAAGTCGGTTCACTGCGGCGTAAACCTCAGACATTCCGGCCTCTGTTACTGCACCCGAAGTGAAGAACTTTGATGTTGTTTGTTCCCAACAGTGGTACTGTGAAGCGGAAAGTCGTCTCATGTGTTCTGCAAAGTTCTCTTGCAATTTGACAAATATACGAGTGTGCGCAGTCTTTGCGACTAAATTTATGGATGCAAATGAGGTGCCGGCTTCTGGGAACAAAGCAGAATTTGCGTTGCGTAATGACAGCTTCGATAACGCGAAAAGGTATATGTGTTTGCGGTATGTGCATATATCGAACCAAATAAGCACGATGCATATCAAAGGGATAATAATAAAAGGAAACCACAGGTGGATCGAATGTTTCGTTAAACAAACATTTTGAAGACGATGCACGATGCGTGGCAACTACTGTGGATTCTCAGTTCGCTTCCGTTAAAATCTCTCATCCGAGCACCGAAGTATCATCATCATTATACACTTCAGCTAGAGGTGAAAAACACCTCAGCCACTGTGCCGCAATACATAAGGAAACAAAAAACACAACAGGTGCGCGCCAGTTGAGCTACCAGTAATGGATGCGCATCGTTTCGGTAAGCTACCTGCCGGCTACTATGCAGCAAACAAATTTATTATGAAAAATTTGTATTATGCTAAGAAATGAGATCGCGGTTGGAGGGGGAGGCTAAAAGGGATGGGGAGAGACAGAAATACTCACAACACGAATGCCACTGAGGTCGGCTCCTAGATATGTCAGTAAATGTGTCCAGCCAAACGTGTTCGTCATCTTTCGGATAGAATCAAATTGCGCGGAACGAAAGGAAGTGAGACAAGCAGCAAAAGCAGTATACCTAAAAGTGGGTTTGGTGGAGAACACTAATTGGTGAATAGTAACAACCACATAAATGGGGCGCAATGTAGGAATACCTCGGAATCTGAAATTGTGTCATGTCAGATACGGTCTGTAACCACCGAGACTTGCATCTAAGAAAACAACACGCACTAGGCTGGACGAGTAAAAAGGCTAATCACACCAAAACTGTACGCCACCCTATGGACTGGTCGCCTAGGGTTTATCGTACTAAAAAACCTGTACCGAGGCGAGCCTGTAACGGACAAAAAAACATAAGCGGTCCTAGCATAAGGGACACACAAATGCAACACAAAAAGTCCCTCTACAAACGAATAGATGAACTTCTGTATTGACCACTCACTGCTTCTGCTAGATGTGAGCAATAATGTGCAAACAAAGATGATCGAAGATGACCTGTTTCGTGCTATCTACAGTGGTCGTTTTTTCTTATCTGTGCACTTGAATCGGCCGTATCGCCATGCACTTGAATGACATGCTAACAACCTTCCACGTAAATAGCATAGATAGATAATGATATGAGCAGCAGACGTGACACAATCTGGCAGATAGGGGGACAGATCGATTACATTCAGTGACTGTCCAGCGGTAACTGA